TCACACGCAAAGTCAATATATTTTCAGTAAATTTTCAGCACTTGTCACTTTGTAAAAGAACAACGGAGAATATCCGCAATTTTTATAACTCTTCAGCATTTTGTCAAGAGATAAACAGTGCACCTCTGAATTATACAAAAGATTCTCCTGGTCACTCTATTTACAAAACATCATAAAGATTCCAGAGGAGGTATAATGTCACAACTAAGACCATAGACTGGAGCCTGCTTGTATTAGAATCCTGGCTACTTTCTGCTGTGCGATCTTGAGAAACTGGCTCTGTGCCCTACTTTCCCCATGGATAGAATGGCAATGTCAGTACAGTAGCATGGTTGTGAGGACGAATGAATTTATATACGTAAAGGGCACAGAACAACATCTAGTACAGAGGCGGTGCTCTCTAAAGTATTAAAAATCATTATTTATAATAGCGTAAGAGTTCTAGTTATCTATAAAAATAGCTTACACTCATCTATAATTGGTCATTCCACTTAACTGGGCACAGGTATTCTGTTTCACATGGAAATAGATTTGAAACAGACAAGCACATGGTGACATTACTCTTCAGAGTTGCAGAATTCTCATGTTTTCATATCGGTTGTGATCCCTAAATTAAATGAGTAAAGCTTATTTTCTTTCTCAAAGAGAAGGAGACAAAAATAAAGTAGAATGTTGTCTCTGATTGTCCTGGGCCTCCCAGGGTGGGAGTACCCTGACTGAGTCACGTTCTCCTCCCCAAACATTCTTCCATTGTTACTGCTACTGCTCTCCATATGAATGCAGGAAGGAAAGAATAAAAGTTTATCCAGGTACAAATAATTCCCCAAAGGGCTATAAACCTAGACAGCAGCAAACTTATTTCTTTGTTATTACCTTTGCCAGAAATTCGTTTGTTCATCTGATAACAGTGTTTTGAGCCCACATTATTGCTTGGCTCTGTTTTAGGTGCTGGAGGTAGAGTGATGTCCAAGACAGGGTGGTCAGAGAGGTAACCAATGAACGGATGCACAAGATAGTGATCACTTCAGGGAGTAATAGGTGCTATAAGCAAAATACCAGGGGGTGCTTCGATTGGGAGTGACTGGGTGGTCAAGGGGGTACCTGGGTTTAACTATTAATAGAAGTGACCTTTGAGCTAAAGCATGAACGTTAACAGCCAGCCATGGGAAGAACCAGGGAGAGAGCATTTCTGGGAAGGGACTAGCAGCAGCGAAGTCTCTAAAAAAGAACAACTTTGGTACGTCTGAAGCAAAATAAGGAGATTCAGTAACCAGGCAGCTCCCAGAAGAGAAAAATATGTCATGGAAAATTTTTTTTAAATGTTCAAGCGCACTGATGATTAAAGAAATGCAAGTTCAAATAAACCGAAAGACTGTTTTTCACCTGTCAGAGTAGAAAGGATTAAACACAGATACGCTGAGCATGACCAGCTATGCCGTGCCTGCTCTGCACTTCTCAAACTGTGCACGGAAATCATCTGGGGATCTTGTTAAAATGCAGATTCTGATTCCAACGTGTCTCAGAATTTAACGTGTGTACAGATCACCTGGGGACCTTGTTAAAAAGCAGACCCCGACTTCAGCCCT